GCATGGATATACCACATTTTGTTTATCCATTCCTCAGTTGATGGGCACTCAAGTTTCCAACTTTTGGCTACTATGAATAAGGCTGCTCTGAACATTTGTGTACAAGTCTTTGTGAGCTCAGATGTTTTCAGTTCTCTTGAAGTTCCCCTCCACTCTTATTCCCCTTCCCATAGTCTTCATTACAGATTTAGGCTGGTGAGCCAGCTTTAACCACATGGATGAGGATGTCTCCCAGGGGTGGCAGAACCATAAGGTGGATGTAACTGGGTTTCCAGATGACCACATGGAGCAGAGCTGCCTGCCACCGCCCTGGACCACCCACCCACTACTAGGCTGTTATGAGTTCTTCTACCGGAATGTGCAGTTGGTCCACCACGTCATTGAACCAATTTAGGATGCTTGAATTTCCTTTGTAAGATTGAGTTTTTGCTCCATATTCACATCCAGGGCCCTCCACGTTTTGAATCTGGGTGGCACCTTGGTGGAGAGTATGCACACCTGGAGTTCAGGAGAGCTCGTTTCCGATCAGCTCTTTTTTTTTTTTTTTTTTTTTTGCGGTACGCGGGCCTCTCACTGCTGTGGCCTCTCCCGTTGCGGAGCACAGGCTCCAGACGCGCAGGCTCAGCGGCCATGGCTCACGGGCCCAGCCTCTCCGTGGCACGTGGGATCTTCCCGGGCTGGGGCACGAATCCATGTCCCTTGCATCGGCAGGCGGACTCTCAACCACTGCGCCACCAGGGAAGCCCCAGCTCTTCTTTCTAACACACTCACAATCAGCTTCATTTTTGGAAGGCGTTTTAAAGGAATTAGCTGAAGGAGCTTAGTTTCAAAGTTTAGGTTTAAAATGTCCTTCAATTTCTCAGCATTAACAGATAAAAGTGGCAAAAAAGTAAAACGCAATTAAAAAGGCCCTTAAGTGTCGAGTCTGTTTGGAACATCAGTGTGTGTAAAGCACAGTGTGCTGTGGGTTATCCCACATGGGAGCCATTTCTAGATTGGTCTTCTGTTAGGACTCTTGACATTTGTTTAATTTCACTGATAACAAAACGGAAATAAATAATAAACACATATATATATATATATTTTAGGGGAAATGATCAATAGCGTGCTTTGAGAGGTCACAAAATGCAAAAGGAGTTGGTTTGTGTAAATTCAAAGCTTTGCTCCGAATCATTAGAGTTACCGGATTCTCATGGAATGCACCCAGTATCTCTCTGGCAGATTTATGGACACGGTTTCGCCAACATTTCTGAGGAGTGTCGACATAGGGACAAAGGAGGTCCACGTGATCTAAGGCTACGAGACACGGAAGAGGGAGAGGGTAATGTCTGTCCTAGTTCACCTCTGCTGGGCACGATGGGGAGTCGGGGCTCCTAAAAACATGTTTTCCCCAAGGAAACATCTTTAATCTTTAAGTGGCCTTAAAGATAAGATCCCTGACATCACGATGCTTAGATTCCAGAGAAAAACCAGATAGTAAACACATAAATAAGCAAAGAGGGGCTTCCCTGGTGGCGCAGTGGTTGAGAGTCCGCCTGCCGATGCAGGGGACACGGGTTCGCCCCGGTCCAGGAAGATCCCACATGCCGCGGAGCGGCTGGGCCCGTGAGCCATGGCCGCTGAGCCTGCGCGTCCGGAGCCTGTGCTCCGCAACGGGAGAGGCCGCAACAGTGAGAGGCCCATGTACCGAAAAAAAAAAAAAAAAAGACAATTTCAGAGTGTGGTAAGTGACCCGAAGGGACGAAAAGACTGTGGCTTGATGGAGACTGGGGGCTACGTGTGAGCTCTGTGATGATGCCGTTTAGTTCACATTTGAATTATGCAGAATGAATGGGGCTTCAAATCTTGATCGACTCTAGCTTGGGACAAAGCTACCCAGTTTCAGTTCCCTCCTCTCGTTCAGGAACTCAACAGGCCTTATGTTGCTGGTGTTTCCCCGGGGCTCACAGCTGTGCATCTGGACCCGAGAACAGTACCAGGCAGACCCAGAATGTTCAGTGACCACTCGGTGAAGGAAGGGATGGAGGAGCCCGTGTGCACCTGAACTTGTCCGTCATCTTTCTCCAAGTCGCCCCTCCCCGCCGTCTTCCCAGTCTCGGGAGCGCCAATAACACCAGCACGATTCTCCAGCCAGAGACCTGGGTGTCGGCTTCCACACCTCCTCCCTCCTCCACCCCGAGCTAGTGCATCTCCAAGTCTTGTTGGTCCTCCTGTGCTTCAGCACGTGGGGCTTTGTCCTCTTGGGTCCTCTTCATTCATCTCTAGCTATTCCCTCGGCTTCTTAATGGGCACTCCCTGCTCTAGGCTGGGCCCCCTCCAGTTAACGTCCCAGACTTCAGCCAGACCGATCAAGAGAGCCTATGACTCTGATTGGACCTCTTACTCAGAATGCTTCAGCGGCCCCTACGCGCTCCCAGCTTCTCGGGATGGTCCATAAGGCCTGGCGTGGATAGCACCAGGCCGACAGACCTCCCCAGCGTCAGCCCTCGTCCCTTGCATCACAACCCCGGCTGTGCTAAACCAACACAGCATCTACCGACAGTGGGTGTTCAGTAAATGCTTGAGCTGGACTCGGGGTGCAGCTGGGAAATGAGTCACCCGCCGTCCCCCTGTCACTTGGTTTTAAGGCTGGGCCTGTAGGAGGGGAAACAACTGAGGCAGGTGTGTGCGCTCTTATTCTACGAGAATGCAAATGGTGCCCCTTCTGCGGGTAAGACTGGGTCCCCTCCCACTGGATGAGAAAAGCCCTTCAGGGTGTTAGCCAGGCGACATACGAGGCACAGATCCTTGCCAGCGAGTGGGAGCAAGGGCATCCCGGGGGCCTGGGGCCAAATCATGAGATGTGGCAATAATACAATAATACAAATAATTTCCCTGCACCAAGGGCCGCACCAAGCCCCGGGGGGATTACAGCAGGAGGGGCAGGCTGGTGCCAGGCCCCCAGCTTCCAAGGGCTGCGCGTGCGTGGAAGACTCTAGCTGGCAGTAGTTTAGATTTTCTCTCTTTGCAAGCAGTTCACCCTGTCACCTTCTCTCCTGCAGTCCGGCTGCTTTCTCACCCGCGACTACTGCACTCCCCCCAGCTGTAGACTGGCTCAGCGCCAATGCCTCCACAGAAGGAGGGCCCAAGACGCAGACCCCGAGCCAAAGCCCCGACAGAGCTGGCCGGCCAGCCCGGGGTGCCTTTGGAGGCAGGAGGGGGCAAGTCCCCACGAGGAGTAGCGCCCCCCTGTGTTCAGAGAGGAGAATAAAGCAATTAGGTTTGAACAGCCACTTTGCGTTAGAGAAGATTGATTTGCCCTTCTGATGTGTTGTTTCCATAGAAGCAGGGCTTAGCCTTTTAAGTGAAGCTTAATTCGGTTAAAATTAGGCTTCAAGCATATCACTACTTCTCAAGTGTTACTGTGGGACCTGCCACTGATCTAACTTCCAGGCGGAGCCTGTGACTTAATGCATTCCAAGACACTCTTTCTGGTGGCAATCTGGTTCGTTGGTTTAATTTTTAAAATTAACTTCATACGGAGAGAAAACTTTCTGCATAAGATCACCAGAGTACTAATAAATGCCTTTTAATTAATGGCTGGCATTGTCTCCACTTCATAAAGGCAGGAGGGCCGGCACACAGGCAGGAGACAGGCGCGTTCCATTAAAGTAATTTATTGTATTCTTCCAGAACAGACATAAAGGGCGTCTTGGAAATTGATATCACAGCACGTGTTATACACCATTTTCACAACTAGCCTTGTGTTGAATATTTTTTAAAGAACATAGTAATCTTAAAAAAATCTAAATATTTACATATTAATAAAACATACATACAGAAGATTGAGACCTTATCCATAGGTATGGAATAATTCTTTTTTTTTTTTTTGCTAAGAAAACCTATAAAAAGGATTTCTGAATAAAGTCTGAACAGTAGTCGCAGTTAAGTAAACACAGTTTTAATTTATAAAATATGATTTTACGGTTGCAGTTTTATGCTGTGTATTTCCAATCTGTGAATCCATTGCACATATCCGAGAGCCGAACAATCCCCACCCACCCCTCAAGTCGTGAAAAATTCAAGCTCTCGCCCAGTCTTGGCAGGAAGTGCTTTGAAGGTTCATGGTGTATATTTAACAGATTCCACAGCTGTAAGGTAAATGTTTCTACTTTTATTTGCAATGTATTCATCTTACTGTAACAGAGGTGAAAGGTCACTAATTAATCTTTTCAATTCCCTTGAGAAAGGCTTCCTTCTGAGAGGCAGAAGACAACTTTTACAACATATCTTGCAGAAAAACAAAAGCCTGGGTTCACAATACTTCATTAGACTCCTTGACGAACAGAGAGGCTGGTGTCAGGGAAGGGGTTACTAACTGGCCTGAAATCGAAAAGGCTAGGTAAACCTGTGATGGAAACCATTGATCTGAACCTTCCTTGAGGCTCCGAAAAGAAGATAAAAGACACACGTGTATGAGATGTAGCTGTCTAGCAGGTGGATTGATTCCATAAGCCACGCCTAGACCAGCTTTGTCACATCACAGGAATGCCTCCTATGGTCTTGGGTTGATTAGCTGGTCTTTAGTGGGTACTGCCTCCCCCTAGAGCTCCCCTCCTAGCCCAGGGTTAGCTGCCCCGAGTGACGTGATGGTACAGGTACCTGGGATGGGGTAGTCAGGAACTGAGGTTCCCAGCTTGGCTAGCCCATTGATGGCTTGTTGCCCGGCGCTGGGCATCCGTGATCCTCATTCCTCCTCAGCTGCCTCACCACAAACCGAGGGAGTGGGACTAACGGTAACTCTGAGCTCTTACACTCTCCGATTTGATAAAATAAGTGCCAGGGACGTGTGTTAAATGGTAGCACAGCGTTTCCCCTCCCCACGCCCCGGGGGTCTGGTGTTTCTACTGTCCAAAGCTCTTTCAAGCCAACTTTTGGCCTTTGGGTCAAGTGCCAAAACTTCACGGTAATTTGCTTTATACAATAAACGAAGTGTAAATGCAATGCCTCCAAATAAACAGGCATTTTGAATTCACCACCTTACTAGAGAAAGGAATCTGGAGGCAAATATCTCTGTGAAACAAATACCCACATGCCCAAAATATTTCTTTAAAATGAATCCACATTTTCACTCGTTGGTTTCATATAAAGCGGGGGGCACGTGTACCAGAGCCACGTGAAGTATATAAGATCAAGTACATTTGTGGCCAGTTGCCACATGATGCCACAACCCTGGACCACTCAGCTAAAACCATCTGTTAAAATAGTTGTCAGGTGTCATGTGGATAGCTGGTTACTTTGAGCTTCTCACCTTTTAATTAGTTATTTTGTCACTGTGTTGACACAGCCTACGCGAAAGATTTTTCTTTCCTAAGAATTTACGTATCGTTTGCACTTATCAGTGACAAATGATTATTCTGGGGAGAAGATGATGCCACAAATGATTTCATCTAATAGATCAGAGCTGTCCTGTCTCCCAAAACAACTTTTCCATCTTCTAAGCTGTTGAAGATTCTAATTAAGTTTGGCCTTCAACACTGCTTCCTTGGTCCGGAAAGAGCCATTCTCCTCTATACTGCAACTAAGCAATTTACATTAAAATAAATACGCTTCAAAACTCTATACCATATTCACACTGAAACAGAAAGAAAAAAAAAAAAAAAAAAGCAGGGAAAATAAAACTGCTTCTTTTTCATGGACATTGAACCAACCCAGTGATATGCTGGACATTTAAAGGCTGAGAATTCAACTCTGAAGATGATTTTTAAAAATCTTAGACCAAATTGGGGGCTTGATTATCACACATTACAAAGAAAGAATATGAAAACTATTCAAACGTGACGGGTCAGCTTCACAGAACGCCCACACTTTGCAGTAACCTGAAATGCTAGTGGATCTTTGAGGAAATTCCAATGGAGGAGATGCGTGCGCTAAGAAGTGTCGCTAAAGGGAAGTCTAGGCAGTGAAAGCTGTCTCTGTGTCTTCCGTGTTTTCTCTCCTGGTGTCAAATATGTGACCTACAACAGAGACAAGAAAGTGAAGGGGGGCCGCTTCTCTAAGGAAGGGTTGTACGCTTGTCTAGGACACGGCCAGACGCAGGACCTCATTGGTAAGGTGTCTGTGTTTCACCTCTAAATCAGTATTTTTTAGCCAAGGCTTTAGGTGTGCCGAATGAGTAATTTTAGTCATTAGAAATCTGTAATGATGATTTTTACAGGAAAACCCATGAATGTGGGTTCCTATTAGAGTCTGTTCATATCTATCATCCAGGAGTAGAAAGTGGCTAAATAAAATACAATATGGCCTGTAAGATGGAATATAGTGCAGCTATTAAAATAATGTGTGTGGAGATTTGTAATAAAATGGGAAACGCTTGTTAGGTGGTAAAACCAAACAGAAGAAAACTTTAGGAAACAAAATTGGATGGATTTGACCTCCATTATATAAATTAAAAAAATATAGAGAAAAGTCTGGGAAAAAACACCCAACGATAATGGTTGTCTCTGGGTGGTAAAAGTAATTTGCATTTTCTTCCTTACACTTTTCTGTATTAATTTCTAAAATGTGTGCAAAAGAAGGCCAATTTATGAGCAAAAAATGCTAAGCCTAGGTGCGCTCTGCACTGTTCTATTTCAAATCCAGAAGCCTCCTTTAAATTTCAGTACTGTTTTGATTTTATTCTCTGTACTCTTTCCCCCCCAAAATTGTTCCCTTATGGTGGTTTTTCTCCTTTATCAGAGCTCTGTCTCCACCCCTGGGCTGTAGTAGCCTCTGCCTCTGGTCTGAGGGTGGGATTTGTTCACCAGAACCTAACTCAGTGCTGACTCCTGGCATCGCTCAAAAACGCTTACTGACAGGGTCGAGGGAAAAGAAATTAAGAAAATATGTTTTTCCACTCGAAAAATCTGTATCCATTTTTGTTAAAGCTAGACAAACAGAAGTTTGCTTAAGTGTTAACGGACTGAGATAAATGTCATCTGACACCTGACTGTAACCGTGGCCTGGTCGGTTCTGGTTCATCGAAACACTTGGGGATTTATTCCCCCGTCCCACCCCTTCCCAACACGCATGAATTTGGGAGGAGAAAAAAGACCTTAATAAGGTAATAAAGGCACTGTTAAATCTTTAAAAAGGACCAACGGTTGCCAGCTCAGACGGACCAGATGAGGAAGGTCTGGCCAGTGAGTCTCCAATCCAGGGAAGAAGCTGCATGGACGAGAAAGGTGGAGCTCATCCCTCGGACGGTCTCATTAAGGAGACACGTAAAAGGGGGGAGGACTAAGTCGTGGTGCTGTGTTCAGAGAAGCCCCAGACTGGGCTTTTATGTGAGGGGCACTCCAGAGACATGCCAGTCTAATCAAGATTGTTTAATTCCATTACTGCAAAATTTGGGCACCAATCCGTGACGTCTCTTCCCATTTTCCAGGTGATAAGTGGTATTATTTATCATGCTGTTTAGTGATTTGTATCAAATATCTATCAGGAGTCTAGTGAAAAAAACTGCAGGAGGGGTCCTACTATTTTCCTCCTTAGGGCCTCACGGCCTTGGGTAGGGTCTTCTTGGGAAGAACCTGAGAGCTGAAGCTGCAGCGGACTTCAGGCTGACTTACGCCAGACACTCTAACTGTGAAGACGGGGTGACACTGAGATGGAATCCTAGAGGGATTAGGACATCCATCACCTCTTAGGATCTTTAGGAAACATGCAGAGAAGGTGTAAGAAAGCTACGCGGTGGACTGGCTGGGAGTTGAGAGGCCTGGGCTCCGGCCAGGCCACCAACCAGCTGTGAGACCTCGAGAAAGTCATTTAGTGTTTCTGGGCCTCAGGCTTTTTTACCTGTAAAATAAAAGGACTGGATAAAAAGAAGGGACGGGACTAGATGATCTCTAACACGCCTTCTTTCTCAGATTCCTGGAAATTCTTTTCACTTCCATGAGGTGGTTCTACCATCCTGTATGTCAATGTTCTCATCTGAAACATCTCTCTGCCTCCATCTTCAGACAGGAAAAGGCAAAGGTATTATTTCAAGGGAGTGGTTTTCCAATAATAATACTTCTTAAAAGCCCACTGTGTCAGATGGTGGCCAGGACGGGCAGTGCAAATGTCCTGGGGTCATGGGGGCTGATGGGGGAGGAACCCTGGAAAGTACAACTAGAACAGCAAGGTGTTCCTCCAGAGGGCCTCCCGAAAGGGCACAGTTTCCTCATTAGTAGCAATGCTTCATGCCTCTACCTGGAGTGGGTGGTCAGAACAAGGTTGATAGGAGTTGTCCTGATACTCAGAGGAGCACAGGTTGGGAAGGAACAATAGAGATCATGCATTTCAGTTCTCTTGGTTCATAAGTGTGGAAACATAGCCAAACAAGAACTCCCCTTTCTATAATTTCTATAATGACTATATACAGTGAGAACGTGATAGAAGCCGGTTGCTCTTGCCCTCTGCAGTCATTTCATTATTTGTCCATCGATCTGTTGCTTAGCTACTCAGTGACAGAGAAAGCACCGTATCATTTGCGTGTCCGAGTTTTCTGGCTGCTCTGAAGTTCGCTAACGTACATTTCTGCTATACCGTGAACTCAGGGTAAGTGCTGTCTGTGAACACGGGCCTCGCCGAGTTCCTACACAGACTCACGACTCCTCTCATCCCTGCTGGACCTAACTTAAAACTTACCACCCCAAATGGAGAGAAAACACTGAGTTGAGCTTTTTCATTTACAGGGTTTTTTTTTGCGGGGGGGGGGGGCGGTGTGTCTGGGTTTGGTTGTTAGAGAACCTTCAGGTATTTTGAGGGAAGTGAATAAAGAGTCTTGAGACCAACTGAGGGTTGGTCACATGGCTCACTGATCAGACACCTGTCCCTCGGGCTCTCGGGTGAGAACCGATGCAGAGGGAGGAGCCCGGGGTCGGAAGGATTACTTGAGAGTCAAATAAGAAGTCGGAATTAAGTCTATGGCTTAACCCTGCAGCAGGTGTGGCAGTGAGATGGTGTATTCAGCTGATCGGGTTACAGCGTGAGGAATGTGCCACCCAGGCTAGATGGATCGAGCACATTCAATCCGTCACTTAAAACACAGTATTCATCGGGTGCCCATTATAGGAAGCGCAATGACACTGCCTCGCAAAGGTTTTTGCGAGGGAGGTGAGTGAGGCCAGAGCGCATGTGAATTTCATCATAAAATGGATGATCCCTGATCTAAACAGAAATGTCATTTCATGTTAAAATATTTTTTTTAATGTCCCAGGGCTTGGGGAGGCAAAACGTTGTGACACTAAGTTCTTAGGACTTGCTGTTCTGAGGTTATCAGGCAGCTTTTCATATTCAATGTGCAAAATCTCTCTGAATGCAGGGCATTGAGCTCCTCTGATTACTAGGGGTTGGGCCTCTTACAGAAGCAGTTTGCTCAAGCATCTGCCTCTCTGATGTTAAAAACATTTTCAATGCAAATATTCTCACGGGCTGTATTTTCCAGCAGGTGATGAAAAGGGAAATGTGTTTTACCTGTTGGGGGTAGAGAAACGCAGTCCAGCCGTTCATCACCGTCAGCTGCCTCTGCTGGTTACAAACATGAAACACAAATGTCATTAGTTTCAGGGAGCTCATTCATTCTGCCGAATAAGGTAATACAATTTAAAAGCTCCAGCGCACATGATAGTTTTCACCTTTCTTTTCCCTTCTCAGCTTCAGCCAGTTCACATTAGAGATTTTAGGACCATGATTTAAATATTTTTAAAATGATGATATAAAATCCATTTTCCTCTATTAACATTTTTTATATCTTAGGAACCTTATTCTATCAGTCATTGATGATTTCAGTTCACTTTCGCTTATTTATATAGGCTTAAGTATCCACCCAGAATCTGGCGTGAATTGTTTAAACAGGATCGTCGAAGGCATGGAGGTCAGGGAATACCTATGGTAGAATTTTACTTGTCATCCTCAGAGCCATTCTAGTGGGGCAGGCTTAGGACAGCTTGGGAACGAACCTTTCTTTGGAGATGACTGGAAATTCAATCTGAAATCGGCATTAATTGAGTCATGAATAAAATCAGAAGGAGTAAGCATTTCTTCAAATGATTTGTCCCTTCTGTGCTTTAAAATGCAAAACTTTGCTCATCTCTGATATATTTCAATCTCCTGAAGAGTTTTCCAAAGGTAGATCCTTCCGTCACAGAAAACCTTCCAGCAAGTACAAAAAGGAAGGTGCCCGTACGTTTCCTGATAAGTGTTGGGCTTGTCAGTTTCCCCAATGTGCTGTGGACAGGCCAGAACACTCCACGGCTGCTGGGATAATTCTGGCCCTGCTCCCTCTGTCCCAGGGCTGCCGCCCCCTTGGAAGTTTCCTGCACATGTGTCCGTGAGGCCAGTCAGGTGAGGGCTGCCCCGTGTAACACGTTGTAATGCTGAGTTGCTGGGAAGCAAACTAATGGTGTGTTCTTGTTTTGACTGCCATGGCTTTAAACGCAATCAGGGTTCAGAGGTGGATGGAGATGTTCAGAGATTTCCCCTGGTTCACCCCTCCACCATCCTGCCCTCAGATTGCCACACGACGGCCGCGGTGAAAGACCCTCACCTGCTAAATCCACCACAAAAACACCGAGACAGAGTAGTCAAGACAAGTTTTGGCTGGAGAGACGCAGCAGCCATGATCCAGCAATCCCACTCCTGGGCAAACACCCTGAGAAAACCATAATTCAAAAAGACACATGCACCCCAATGTTCACTGCAGCACTATTTACAATGGCCAGGTCACGGAAGCAACCTAAATGCCCCTTGACAGACGAATGGATAAAGAAGATGTGGTACATATATACAATGGAATATTACTCAGCATAAAAAGGAATGAAATTGGGTTATTTGTAGAGACACGGATGGACCTAGAGACTGTCATACAGAGTGAAGTAAGTCAGAAAGAGGAAAACAGATATCGCATATTAACGCATGTAGGTGGGATCTAGAAAAATTGTACAGATGAACCGGTTTGCAAGGCAGAAATAGAGACACAGATGTAGAGAACAAATGGTACGAATTGGGAGATTGGGATTGACATATATACACTAGTATGCATAAAATAGATAACTAATTAGAACCTGCTGTATAAAAAAAATAAAATTCAAAACAAAGCGGCAACCACTAAAAATTATGTTGTAGATGAATGTTTAATACTGCATAAAGCATTCCAGTCAAGTGATGGGATAAATGGTAAGGTTAGAATTCTATAAATAGGTTTATGGACAAAACACAGGATATACTAAAATGTTAAGTGTTTCTCTCTGGATGAAAAGCTTATGGGTATTTAAAATTTTGTTCTTTGAGTTTTTACATTTTTCTTATATATTTAAAAAATAACAAACGTTATTTTTATATTTAGAAGATATTATTCTCTTCTGATTGGCTTAAGTGAACTTGAATAGGAAGATGAAGTACACCGTAGTTCTTTCATTGGGATTTATTTATTTATTTTCACTGTTCAAGGTTTATTTATTGTTTTAGTTGGTGTAACACTTAGATAGCTGGCTGCATTATTTCCGACGATTTTTCTTTTTTACATCACATGGCAGTGTACACTATTCTGATACATATAGTACATAAAATAAAATTCTTTAGAACAGTTATGCACGGGACATGCAATACTGGATTTATCGTCAATCCCAGGATGTGATTCATTGGAGAAAAAAAAGTTGGACTAGGCATCTCGGCTAAAGGAACCAGAAGATTTAAAAGATTCTTCAGTAATAATAATAATAAAAGCTATGATAGGCATCACCATTTACTGAATACCACCTCCTGAGCAGTTATTATATGCATTGTGTCAGCTGACCCTTGGCAACCCCTACAAGGCAGGTCTATCTTATGCCCATTTTAAGAAATGAGGCAACGGAGACAAACAGACGTTAAGACGTACCAAGGGTTTGACTCAGGTTAATGCCCGGGCTTGACCTCTTCGCTCGCTATGTATAGTCCAAATATAAATCACAGGCATCACTATAAGCTGCAATTGTAAAACTTCAAGCTTTAGTTCATTTGACACTTTAGTAACTTTCTCTACCTTCCATGAAAAGCAGCTTTTCACTTAGTGATGACAAAAATCAGTTCTGGGTGTAAGTTGATCTTCCCTTTGTAATTCAGCTCTCCTCACTTTAAAAAAAAACAGGCCTGTGCAATTATGTGCTTTACTAAGAACCAAACATACACAACCCCAAATCTGTAAAGGATTATGTATAAATGAGTAGCTGCCCGCTGCACAAACAGGGCCAAGTGTTGTGGATTAAGAACATGACTGTTAACTTAAATGTGATTCTAACATCTGTCTGTAACAACAAGCTCACAATCTTTCTTCTCTGGTGACGGGCAAGTTGTGAAATTCGGGAAAGATGAAGCAAGTCCAATAAAATTTTAATAGCAGTGACAGCTTTACTCTTAGATCCAACACAAATTAAAAAATTGCGATTTTTGCACTGAGGAGATAATCTAATGAAAATGATAAAAATCCACACCAGAAAAGGAATCATTTCAGTTATCGAAAAAAAATGTATTACATGTGGTGAGAGCCCCAAATGAATCTCTATTTGGATTCGCAGAACAACCTTTCAGGTCTGTGACAGGCACTTCCTTTTTCTGGAGGCTTCGCCGGCTGCCTTTAGCAGCGAATTGATTACTTGCCCAGGTAGAGTCTGTACCTTCTTCCAGGAAGTGAGCCAGATATGATGAATAAGACTGAAGCTGTGGAATATCCATGAGACGCCGTATTGTCATTTAGACCGAAAAGGAGACAAAAAAAGAGCAAGCAATAGCACTGACCCCGGCCCCTCAGTTCTCATCCGCATGACGACAGTAACGCGTGCGGCTCCAGTTCCGGTTTGCTGGGATCCCACTTCTGTGCCGCTTGGGGAGAAAGAGGTGGGACAGGATTTGACACAATTGGGAGACGCAGCCTATTTGGCAGGTCACTGTGGGTGTGCTGTCATCTTGCTCCTGTGTGGTTTGTGTGTCAGGGTTAGCTTTGCCCTTCAGCCACCCTCCCCTTCTCAGACGCTGATGGAACCTGCTAGACAGGCTGGGGAAACCTGCCAGGGTGCCAACCACAACTCTCTAGGCAGAGAATCTAAACCCAGTGTCAGAGTGGAAGCATCCTCGATCAAATGAGAGGACGACTCCAGAACAGGGTACCCGATCATCTGAGTGGGTGAGATGCCCCACGGGAGGCCGGGGGGAGACTGCACCCCATTCTGTACCCACAGGCACATGAATTACTAATCCAAACCCTGAGATGGTTAAGAAACGTGCTCACTGGCCAGTCTATTTTGGGGAAAGAGAGACAGGAACGTGGAGGAAGGTCCCCACTGTGTGCATGTGTATGCTGTGGGGAAGGGAGTGGAGACCAGAACTTATGATAACAACTGGTCTCAGCATCTGACAACAGAAAAAAAAAGGTGTGTTTATGTATAAAATACATACAGAAGGGGAACAGCATTGCAACAGAACTTGCTCTTCTAGTCATGTGGCCTCTGGCAGGAGAGCTGCTCCTGTGTCTCTGAGAACAGTCTTCTCCAATATACTCAGTATACGCCCAACACTCCGCTCCCTACGTGTATGTCTTCCACCTTCAAAGGTGACTCTTCAGGGCTTCCCTGGTGGCGCAGTGGTTGAGAGTCCGCCTGCCGATACAGGGGACATGGGTTCGTGCCCTGGTCCGGGAAGATCCCACATGCCGCGGAGCAGCTGGGCCCGTGAGCCATGGCTGCTGAGCCTGCGCGTCCGTCCGGAGCCTGTGCTCCGCAACGGGAGAGGCCACAGCAGTGAGAGGCCCGCATACCGCCAAAAAAAAAAATAAAATAAAAAAGGTGACTCTTCAAATGGAAACTTTTCAGCTCCTTTAGAGACTGTTATTCACTCTCCTCAGCTAGAGGCACAGGTTCTGGGACACCAAGCCCTCTTCCTGCTTCCTCTGGGTTGTCTCCAAAGCTCCTCAATCAGTAACATCTGGATCCTGAATTTATGCCGTCCTTTTCCCTCAAGCTCCCAAGGAGCTCCAAGCATTTCCCACGTCCTGCCGCCACCCCCTGTGATGCAGGAAGAGGTCCTAGGTAGAGGAAGCAAGTGCAGATTTGCTAGAAGCTGGTGGCACAGCTGGGGCCAAGGCGCGGGGACCACAGGGCAGCTGGTGGATGGATCCTGGCCACTCTGACCCTTTGCCTTTCCTTTGGACTGAGTATTACATTTCAGTCTCTTCACTATGACAAATCTTAGATCTCTCTGATACTGTATTTAGTGTCTTTGTTTTTTGGGTTTGACAACTTGCTCTGAAAAGCAACAGGTAGGTACAAGTTCTCACATACTCAGAACCATCAGGGTTGCTAACGCAGAACCTAGGCAACATAAGACCAACTTAATACTTAACTAGCAAGGACACCGCTCAGCTTATACTTGAAAGTAAAGCTGAGGAGACACGCACCCAGCAGGACACCAGTGCTTGCTTAATGAGGGGTTACGCGCGGGGTGCTGTCTTTTATAACACCTGTCAATTGCAAAAAGTGCTTTCCCTGGAGCCTGAAATCTAAGGGGCAGAGTCACAAAGGGGCCTTTGTGAGGTGTCTCCAGGCAGAGGCAGGGGACCTTTAGCCTAAGAAGAGATAAGAGAGCCGCCAGCAGGAGGGTGATCTTCCCAGGTGTTTCTCAGTGAAGCCACCCAGAGTGAGGTCTGGGCGCCTTGACCCGAGACTCTGAACCTTTGGGGGAGCTGGGAGAAGAGGCGATCAGGAGTGAAGAGGCCTCAGAGGACGGGGACAGAGAAGTGAGAGAAAGGGCCTGAGGACGAAGGACGGGGCACCCAGGGATGGCCAGGCGAGTGGCGTACCCAGCACGTGGCCACCCCACGGGTTCTGGGGATGGGGGATGAGGAAGCCTCTGAACCTCCAGTCAGAAACTGCTGGAATATTCTCCAAGATCTCACGTGACCGCGATGAACTGAGACCTTTTTGCTGTGGACAGCTGTCCCTTCATTCCCATTCGCTGGTCCATTCAACAAACATCCTGGCGTGTCCACACTGTGTCACACAGTGTTCTCAATGCTTAGGACAGAAACATGCAGCCTCTGCTCCTGAGGATTTCGTGGAGGAAACGGGTGTGTCCCTGTCACTATTCAGGTGGCAGAAGATCAAAGTGCCGAGGCCGCCTCTGAGATGCTGCGTGCTTCCAGGCGGAGGGGAAGCCTGGGTGTGGGAGGCCCGCCGATTTCAGATGGGGTGGGCGGGGCGGGGTCTGGTGTGGCCCAGGGGCGCACCGGGCAATGGCAGGAGGTGAAGGACCGTCGCTGTGCTGGGGGGTATGTAGAAGGGTTTTTATCTGGGCGGACAGGAAGCCAGAAGTATTTAATCTGGGGCGGGGCATGACCGGACCTCATTAGCAGAGGACCCAGGCTCGGGTCCCAGGACGTGGCCGAGCCTGGAGCTGCACACTGGGGAGCCCCCGATGATGGGACAGTGCAAGTCACGTGGGAGGACGCACAACGAGAACGAGAAGAAGCACCAAAGATGGAAACCAGGACCCGGGTTTAGGAGACAGGCAGAGGAGAAAGAGGTGGGGAAGGAGACCCAAGGCACTGACAGGGAAATTGGAGGAGAAACAAAGAGAATGAAATCACAGAGCCTGGAGGAAGACAGTTTCAAGAAGGATGTGATTTGAAAGGGTAACAATCAGTATGGAGGTCAAGTCTGAGTGTTAATATAAACAAGTGAAATCTGATGATCGGAGGACGCAAACGCAGCAAAGGTTCACATACGTAGAGGAGTGAGGTCAGGGGCAAAATGCCCTGGATTCTAAAGTGAACTGGGTGGGGAGGCAGACTCAGGGAATGAAGGCCCTTTTGGAAGAAATCTGACCAACAGTGTCAGAGGAGAAAGGAACTTTGCTTTGTTTTGGTTTTGGTTAGCAAAGGGAAGGACGATAAGGTCGTGGGCATTTCTTGAGCATTATTACATGTCAGCTGTCTATCGGTGGCAATACTTACATTATCTAATTTTAACTCTGAAAACACCCGGAGGTAGGTATCAGCCTCGTTATACAAATGGAGAAACCGAGGCTCAGAGAGGTTGAGTAATTAGTCCAGGTTCCCAGGAAATTGTAAATGGCAGATCAGAGCCAGGAAAGCAGACCTGTTCTCTCCACTGCACCACGCTGTGTTGATTTGCGATGATTTGGGGGTGCAGAAGACAGCAGTGAAAACTGGGAGACCCAGGGGGAGGATAAGCACATGATTTACTGCCCAAGACTGAAAGCCTTTGAGAGTGAAAGGGGCATCACTGATAATCATGCCGGGACAACAGGAGCAAAGCGGCTGCCCCAGCACAGCAGGCTGGCTGGTCCCCTGACCGAGGACACGACGTGTGGCTGCCTCAGTGACCTCCATGCCGCCAAGCATGGCTGCGCGCAAAGACATCTTCCGAGAGGTACGCTAGCTTCACTGATAAAGACGTTCATGTACAACCCGCGTCTGGAGCCTCAGGACAGCTCTGTACGTAGACAGGCTGTACGTCTATGTCCAGTTCGTGATGGGGACCCGAGATGAGAAGTATGGAGTGACTTGTCCAAGGTCCAGAGCTGGTGAAGAGCGGACGTGAGCCTTGGAAACCAGATCTACTGACTCTGATGTGACTTGTTACCTAATGCAATAATCCATTTGGTTACCAATGAAAAATCTTAGTAGTCCATTGCTCTTTATAAAAAGAGCATCAGTTAAGTGTAAAAGAAGTCAAAAGGTTAAAAAAGGAGGGAGGGAAGATTTTTAATAAAAAAAACCTCATCCAGTTATAGCTGGATAGTGTAGCATCTTGCTAGCTACTTTTATAGAACTGTAAGGTTTTTCACCCGGAAAAACCACTCGGTCCCTCGGTGCTCTGTGTCTTGTTGAGTCAAGAGCACCCCCAGCCTGAGCCCGGAGCTCTCCTCCCCGGGGCTGGTGGCTGGGCTCTTCCGCAGGCTTGGTCACGGTTACTCCTACTCACAGTGAAAGTTCAAGTAAGAGGCTGTGTTACAGACAGTCTCACAAGTTTGTACTGCTGTTCTATGGACCCCCAGAGTGTGACATTCAGGCAAAACCTGTCTCCCAAACTCTCACACCACAGCCACAGAAGCACAGAAGGCTCTTAGCAGGCCAGGGGGCCTGAGGTTTGATCGGTTGTTTTTTGTTTTGTTTTTTAAAAATAATATCTAGAGGCTTGTGGCCTCCTAGGGGGGATTATTCCTACATAATGGCAGAAAACTGACCTCAAAAGGATTCTTCATTGGTAAATTGTCCCACCGTCACTTTGGGGAGAACGAGATTTCAAATGACCATCTCTAAATAGTCAAAATTCAACTGGTGTTCACCTTTCCTGGAAGAATGATCCCAGAACCACCAAGCCCAGATTGAAGGAAAAAAAAGAAAAAAGTAAATATCTGACTTAAAAATCTCTTTCTATTTTACATGGTCTTTCTGGTAAGATGATTATTGTGTGTGTGTGTGTGTGTGTGTGTGTGTGTGTTTTAATTTATAATTTATTTTATTCACTTAGTACAGTAAGAACACCTTTCCATGCAATTAAATATATTTCCACAGAATCTTCTTTTTTTTTTAACCTTAAGCAACTAGTACTTTTTATGAGGTCACGGAGGTCCAAACAAATAAAAATCAATAGGCAGTAGAAACAAATCACAAAAGAGAGACCTCATTTCATACATAAGACCACCAGGGAGATTAGCAATCTTTTTCATTTGTACTATTTAAAGTAAATGGCCTGACGTAATTTTCACTGTTTAATCTTAAGGTGAATTTCAAAATCATTTGACTAAGCTTTTCAGATACAAAACCAAAGCACATTATATAAAGCTTCTCCTTTAAAAGACAAAAGACAATGAAGTAGCCGAGAGCAAAGAACTGTACTTTGTATCATCTAAAAATTCGACAAAGCACTTCTGCAATTATTTTCTTGCAGCTGATTCATACCTGAGCCTCTTTTTAACCTTCTTCGGGCCAGTTTGATTTGATCCTGTAGAATCTGAACCCAGTCTCTTGGGCCAGGAAGTTTATCCACGTGATTAGCAGTGCAGTATTTTTCTGTGAAGACTGAAAGAAAATGTGAAATATTGTTAAATATTTTAACAAAGAAAATATGCAGATCTGAAAAAGGAATATAACCCCAAGAAGGAAAAAAAAAAAAGAGTGTACTTCTAAAAGATGTTAGTTCTGCAGTGGATATTCTCAAAATCCATATGGCGTTCCTTTGGTGAAGATGGAGCTTGGCAGGGTCCATCCTACATACCATGTCCTGTGCTTCCAAATGAAACTGGTTACAGATATTAAGTAGTTCTACGGAAACTGCTCTTTCTAATGGCTCCACGTCCATGTGTATGTGTCTTACGGGCAGAGCAGAAAATGCTTCCTAGGGGTCCATTGGCCCCATGACAGAATTCTGCAAGTGTATCAACATATTTCACTTTTCTGCTAACTCAAAATCAAATGGAAAATTGCGCAAAAAGATGATGGTCTCGTGGTGATTCCTGCTAAGTCGATTGGCACTCAAAATAGAGGCAGTGCAGTTGGGTGTTAGTGAAAGTTACAATCCTACTTTGAGTCAGCCTCTTGCATCTTGTACTAGCAGCTCCTAGGAAAGAGCTCCCTAATAAGCACAAAGGAAACTGGAGTCACGTGCTATGACAGTTATCTCAGTAAAGCCGCACAGCGTGTGATGGTGCACGCAGCGCTGCGGTTGCCATTTCTACTTCACACATCGTTCCTGAGCGCTTTTCAACCTGCTCCCCTCATGGTCAAGGCCTGTTATGCGGTCACGTTGCACTGCCTCCTTGGTAGTTAAAACATTGATAATTTTAACATTTTGAAGGTTTCTTTTAAAAAGAAAGGACAGAGGAAAATGTTGACAGATTCAACTACACAAAGCTGTAACATTTCTATTGAATAAAAAATAAACATTTCATTTGAATGAGCAGAGCTAGTTGCACTAAATCTGCCACGATAGGAAGAGCTCATCCCAAATGAAAGAGCAACTTCAAGCCTCCACCGATAAATGGAAAAAGTACACTTAGCAAAACACGTTCAAATAATTTGTAAGCCCCCAAGTTGCAAAACACTTTATACCTACTAAATTAGAAAAACAATTACGCTAATACTTCAGATGGATAAAATTCTGTGAATTTGACGCATTCAAGTATGACTGTTGGCATAAATTGGCAAAACCCTTTTGGGAAATAAGATGGTTCTATATAATGAGACATGAAACTGTTCTTCCTTGGGACTGGTAATCCTATTCCTAGAAATGTATCCTAAGGAAATAGTAATATGGAAGAAGGGAAAAAAGTCATAAACAGTCGTCCCCTGGTCTCTGTGGGGCATGGGCCCCAGGACCCCCATGGTACCAAAATCCACGGATGCTCGAGTTCCGTATATACAATGTGTATTATATGCATACAACCTATGCACACCCTCCTGTATACTTTGAATCATTTCTGGATGACTTCTTATACCTAATACCACGTCGATGCTATGTCAGTAGGTGCCTGCACTTGGCAAATTTAAGTGTCGCTTTTGGGAACTTCCTGGAATTCTTTTTCAAATACTTTTGATTGGCAGCTGGTTATACCTACAGGTGTGGTATATCCACAGGTATACTACAGGTGTGGTATCCAGGCCTGTGGATCCGAGGGGCCGAGGGTACAAACATCAACAATCCAGTTGTGCAGGAAGAGATGCAGGGCAGCAAGGGGCGGGTGGACGTGAGGGGGTGGGAGCACGGGATGCCTTTCAGGAATCCACACCATCGTGGGAATCGGGGCCAGCGCTAGCGAAGATGAAGGGGTGACGGGGAACAGATCAGGAACTAGCAGTGCTGGAGAATCCCATGACCCGGTGAATACAGGGGGAAGGTGTGTGAGGGGAGCTGCGAGATGCATCAGGTGTGGCTTGGAACACGTTGAGTTCGGGGTGTTTGCGGAGTCCTCACATGGGGACAGCTGGCGGGTATTTCAACACAGAAGCCTTTGGTTCAGGGAAGGGGTCCTGGAGGAAGATGCAGGTTCGAGGGGCGCAAACATATATGTGGTCATTAAAACGACAAGAGAAAAAATAGTGACCAGGGAGAAGTTTTCGAGTGAACAGAGCACTGGCCAAGCACAGAGAGGACCCCCGGGTCTGAAAGGAGGTTGAGGCACGGGAGACCAGGAAGGAGCCGGAAGCGTGGTCTTGTGCAGGCGCAAGTGGTGGGACCCACAGCCCCGAGTGCAGACGAAGGGCCAGGAAAGAGGTGAGGAAAGAGTCCCTGGAGGCCGTCATCAAGGGCGTGGGGAGGGTGGCCACAGATGACTGTCTCCAAACGCCAGGCCTGGCGGTGGGCTTGGGGGGAGGAAGGGACGGGGGAGGAAGGATGGGGATGGGGGAGGCGGCCAGTGGGGATCCAGGGAGGATGGGGGGACAGTCTAAGGAACCATGTACCAGAGGAACTGGGGGAGGGTCGGCATTCGGGAGAGGGATGGGGGGTTACCCTCGACCGGGACCAGGAGGAAAGCTTCCTCCTCTGAACCCAGAGGAGGGGAAGACAGGGGTGGACTTAGAAGGGATCAAGGTGGGTCCTCATCGCTCCTGACGCCTCAGTGAACTCAGTGGTGAAGGGCGTGGAGAGTGCGGGAACGTCTGGAAGTGCCCAGAGGAGAACAGGAACAGGAAGGCAGCAGACGAGAGCGCAGGATGCCGAGTAGGAGCGGGGCTGCGTGCTTGTGGCAGCAGCGCCCATAGGGCGGGTGTTTTCTCCAGGGCACCTGGCAGCTCCTCGTCTGGGGTGGAGACACCCGATGGGAGGGCTGGTGTAGGGTTAGGAGTTCGCCGGACAGGTTTGGCAGAAGGACAGGATATAAAGCATTGAAGGTGGTGGTGAAGATGCCCCCTGGGATGAAATTACAGCTTTCTTCACCCACCCTTCCTTTCCACCCATATCTGGGAAGCACGTGAAGCCAGAAAATGGCTTAGACTCGGGCAAATCTATGGAGACCAGGGAATGGATATATCAGTGGGGTTGGCAAGGAGATGGGGCCACTGAGAGTATAATGGTGGAGCGTCAAATGTTGGCAGCGAGCAGGACGTGTGGTCAACGGTGTGGGGTTGAAGTGTAGTGGAGATGAAAGCCAGTGAGGACGAGGTCTGGACACTCTAGCTAGGGGGTCACGGGATCTCTCATGTGGATGGTGAAGTTATCCAAGATGGCAGCAGGACCTGGGAGTGAGGGGAAGATGCAGAGGTGTGCTGATGGAAAGGCTCCATCCTAGCCCCAACTGAGAAGAGGAGGAGAGAGAAGGAGGAGGGAGGGTTAAGGTCCAGGGAGAATATCAATCAGGCTGCCCAATCTATGATACATGGGGCACGCGAGTAAGCAGTCTCCACCTGGGAGAGATGCAGAGGGGACAGCATCCCCGGGGTAGGGGTGCTTCTGAATCTCCTGTACCAGATTATAGACAGGGGTCTTCGGGGGTCTTTGTTTATTTCCTCTCCCTAAAAGCACCTACTGCAGTGCCCTAGACTAAGAACGCCATAAACATTTGAAGAATAAACATATTTTCTACTTTTGTTTCTAATGGAAGTAAATACAATAGCTCAGATATTTAGGCTAATTGGGAGAGAAAGGCCTATCTGAATTAGTAGGAAGTCTTAATAGCATATATTTAAAGAAAAAAGGTTTTATTACAGTCAAATGCCCATAGTGACACTTCTTAATCAGAGGGCTGCCGAAAAGTTCTCGAAATCGTGTTTTAACGAACAAAAGAAAATATTTGTATTTGGCACCCTATTCGATTATAGGAAAATGTATACCACAGAAATGATTGAATACACTGTCTTAGCAGGTAAACCTCTCCCTCCTTCCTTGTAATGTTATTTATGTAATTAATTTCCATAGCAACCCCTCTCTTCTTAGATTGGGAAATGCATGCATTCAAATTAGCCCACATTAGGAAGCAGAGATTCGAAATTAACAAAACAGATTTGGATTATGCCAACATCGAAGTGATTCCCGGCAACCACGTGTGTCAACGACTAAGTCCAGGAGAAACAGAGGGAAGGTCTCCCACTGTGTAGGGGGCTTCCAAGCGGATCTTTCTCACCATTTTAAGCTCAAGTGTTCTGCCGCTCGTTCAAAAGGTGACAATTTCTGGTTATTGTTTTCTCCTTGCAGTGAAAAGTTATCTGGTTTCAATCATAAGAAGCCAGGGAAATCTCTGCCTCCTGGGTCTCCCTTTGCTTGCAAAGCATTGGGCTTTCCGAACAATACCTCTACAAACAAATATTTCCATCGGGCATATTATTGACATTCTGGTTCATGGCTTACACTCAAACTTAAAAGAAAACTTTTAACTAGAATCTACCTACAGAGGACGAAATCCTATTCTTTCTGTTGCATGCGCAGATGAGTCCTGAGAACAGGGCCAAAGGACAGTCATTGTATTGATCTGAGAACACTCCATATGCTATGTGGATAGAGGTACCGGGTAAGCAGAACGTATTTTTTGCTATGTGAATCTATAGCTAAAGGTCAAGCTATTATCCTGGTAATAGTTCCATTAGGAGTAATGATGTGAAAAGAGGTACTGCATTTATGAGCTGGGTTTCCTACTATGTTAATAGTGGGTCATTAAGACTCAGAGTAGAACAGTTTGCATTTATCCTTAGAATGCAGTAGGTCCTAAAAAGAAATTTCCCTCTCCTCCTGTTTTAATATATGAAGGGGAAGCAAGGGATAATTTTAAACACGTCCGAATAATCTGAACAAGCGGATCAAGGCCAACAATTAAACTAAATAAAAGAGTGGAAGCATCTACTCTGCTTACATACTTTGAGGTCCCAAGGCACAAAAGAGTATGTGAGGTCACCAGGGAAATGACAGATGTTCAGTTTGATCTGTACGTGAATAAGGACTTTTCTCAGATGCTGGCATTCATTCGAGCCATGCCCTTTAACTGTGTATCAATCATGAATAAGCTAGTGGTGGCTGAGTGGATCCTTCCCTGGGAACGTGGCATCTAACATAATCATCAGTGAACACGGCGGTGTGTAGCGTGTCTGAATGT